TAATTCTAAAACTTTTTAACCCAAACTTTCTTTAGATAGATATAGATAAAAAGTAGGGGAGAGGATAAATAGGAATTAGAGATACTTTAGGAGAGAAACACTCTACTAAATTAGAGATAATTTTGGAGAAAGTGGGGGATAGTGGGGGAGGTAGTTTAGGAGAAAAGATTATTTAGCTTATTAGGAAAGTGCATCTCATTGGTTGTTTAAAAAATGACATGGAATAAAAAAATAAATAAAACATTCAAAAAAACGAGAAAATTTCTTCAGTGCGTTGTTTTAATATATACTAGCGGGGACCCATGCGATGCATGAGACTTATTAAGCGAAAGCTAAGTAATAGAAAGGGCTATTTACTAAAATACCCCTTATAATTTCATGGATTTACTAAAATCTACCCTATAGTTAGTATTTTACTAAAACACCACTTATAATTTGCAATAGATTCAATCAATCTTCCATTAGAGGACAGTGGAAAATGACAATGTTGATCCTAATGTTCATTTAAATAAATTTAATCAAAAGAAAATAAAAATAAAAATACCATTTTTGCCCTTAATAAGACACAGGCAACTACTCTATTGGCTATATTTGGTCAATTTTGTTTTCTATACAAAAAGACATTAATGGTATTTTAGGAATAAAAAATCATGGGCCTAATGGCGAAAYAAACACTCCTAAATGAAAGGTTGATTAAGTAATAAGTTGTAAAATATATGGGATGTTTTAGAAAAATGAAAACTATAAGGTAAGATTTAAGTAAATATGTAAAACTATAAGGTGTGTTCTAGTAAATGACCTTAAGTAAATATGTAAAACTATATTGTTCTAGTAAAACAATAATTAATTTTTGTTATGTTTATTCATCAAACTAATGAAATTAACCAACCCGATCAACTCGATCCAACTTGGTTAGTTTTCTGGTATTTTAGGTTGGTTTTGGTTAAAAAATTTCCCAATTGGACCAAATTGGAACAGCTTCACTTTGGCCTAAATTGAATGACCTAACCATGGATATATATTAATATTTTATATTTTAAATATAATTCTTAATATGGAAAGGTAGGAAATTTCCCATATTTCTTAGTCTAAAATGTTTTATATCATAAATCTAATTTTTAAATTTATTTTTTAATAATTGTATTGTAATTTTTAAAATCAAATTTAATTTTTAAGTTTAAATCTTTTGAACGGACTA